CTTTATTTCCCTTTGTTCCTTTAACATGGATAGTGAGCTGCTCATTACATTTTGAGCCAACACGGACGAAAAATGATAAGGTAAGTTGACCAAATAAGGCCCACTTAATGTTTGTTAGTTGGTTTTTGATAAATAAAATCACGATATAAATCTGAAAACCACAGAGAAAATAAATCACATATTTAAATTTAATATGAGATTGTTAAATTTTATTAAAAGTTTTATGAGTTGTTACTTTTTAGTCTTTAAAAAAAGTTGCTTCTGGGCCTAATTAGGAACACCATGTTCTTAATAAGGCCCACTTTTTAAATGTGACCATTATGCCTAATTGCACCAACAGATCTTCAGCTCCAGTTTAACCCAGTTCAGCTTATGTCGCATTCACGTTCCACGTACGTCTTAAGCTTAAGGTCTATTGGTGCAACTATACATTAATCAAATTAAACAAAGGTGACATGTAGGACATTTATTTTGTAAAAAATAATAGGTACTTAAAATAATTATTGCAAACAGTCTGGACATATGAAAACTAAGTCTTTATCATCTGCTGAAAGTCCTACACATTCTTCATGGATATATCTTTTACAGCTGTCACAAGTCTCATATCCTTAACGACATCCTCATTGCAGACGAAACAATACCAACTATCTTTTCGTTCTTCTTTTTTTTTGAGGTTTCAAGTGATGTGTTTATTTTTCTCTTCTCCTTTTTTTAGTTGTTTTTTGACTATTTTTCCGTTTGCCAAGTTTTTTCCTTTTCTTGATTGGTTTTTAGGGTCATTTAAACCAGCTTCATCAAACAATGATTTTGTGACTTCCTGTGCTCGATAGTTCAGGGATTTCTTTCTAGCACCTTTGCGTTTTCCAGTTTCCAATTCTGGTGTTATTAACACTACGTATAAATTACTGACATTTCGTTTTCTTCTTCTGAGCTGTCATGTACTGAAAATTCATTGTCAGAACCGTCAGAACTCTCAGAGCTATTTTGCGTATTTTTCTCCTTTAGAGCTTTTATTTTCTTTTTTCTGTCTGGAGTGGAGCTGCCAATAGGATTATTCGTTGCGGAAGTCGAAGCTGATGGAATAGCAGAATCTTTCGAGTCTAATTTATTTTCTGTTATTTCTGATGGGCAAAAAGCTATGCCAGGAATGACACTCGGATCATACGGGTATATTCCCGTAGCACGAAAACCTGAAATAACATTTGATGCTGTAGTTGCTTTTGGCCATACTTTTGAGAAAATTGTGCCAAACGAAAATTTATTGATCGTTCGATCTGGTTTATTTGTCCAGTAGGTGATAACTTCGTCGTCCCAGTAAGATTCGAAGGCTTTAAATACCGCCTTGTCCATAGGTTGCAGTTCATGTGTGCAATTACTTGGCAGGCAAAAAAGCGTAATTTCATGCGAGTCGGCTTCATCAACAATACCTGCATCCAGATGGGACGATGCTCCGTCAAAAATAAGCAGTATTCTTCCTATTGGCTTGTACTTAGCAAAATGTTGTACCCACTTAATGAAAACTGGCGTAGTCATACTTCCTTTCTCGGTCATTTCAATAACTGTTCCAGCAGGAAGACTGTCATACCATTCATTCTTCTTTCTTTTTCCTTTGAACAAGATCATAGGTGGAATTATTTGTCCTACAGCATTTCCACAACCGACGATTGACACATTCTCAGCGTGCTCTTGCGAAATCAAATGAACTCGTTTGACACCTTTACGAGCATATACCTGTTGTGATTTATGAAGGTTTAGGCGGCAACCTTTCTCGTCAATATTAAAAATGCGTTGAGGGCTTTGCAGGATATCAAGCTTCAACATAACTTCGCGTAGCTTTTCAAAATAGTCATTGACTATGAATCTGTTTAATTTGGCGGCTCTAGCTGGATTCATGAATTGAGATTTTCTTTTAACTACTTCGGGATGTCGATTTAAAAAAAGTTTGAGCCATTTTCGACCAGCTAAGTTTTTATCGATAAAAGGTGCAGATATGCCATTTCTTTGGCAATATTCATGGACAGAACGTCTTATCACTGTTGATGTCAGAGGCATTCCAATGTCAGCTAGCCTAAAAATTCTTCCACACAACTCAGATTCTTGTTGGGGGGTTAAACATGAAGGGCGCCCGAGTTTCTTTTCCGCTTTTCCACTAAGCAAATGCCAAAGGCCAAAGCCATTTGTTCTTCAGTCCATAAAGCTCTAGGCATCTTAAGCTTTTTAGTATTCTGTCTGAAACAAAGTTAAAAACTTATAAAACGTGTTATTGTAGTGGTCTTAACAAGGCCCACCCGTAGTCTTAATAAGGCCCACCCGGGCCTTATTAGCAATACTGTAGGTGATCAATGTTTTTAGAAATTACCATTATTTACGTTTTAATAAACATAAGGTAATTCAGGTACTATGAAAGTACAACTAATAAGTACACAAATGTCATGCAAAATAAAAAAAATCGCACTCATAATCGTATTAAATTACAAAAGCATACTAACCTCAATATTAGATTGGATGTTTACCCATTGACCAGTGTAAACGAATGATCATATAAAAGCGACAGTTCGCGTCGCTGCTCAACTTCGTGTAACAATTTGCACCTAGATGGCTCTACTGCATCTGTACATTGCAGCATACTGCCATTATTTGTCCATCCTGAGGAATATGGGCGAGTGGTCTTTATTAGGAACCGGGCTTTATTTGACGAACCTACCTTAGATCAAGTAATTTTTCACACGAAACGTAAAAATATGCAAAGATTAAAATTTTAAAACTAAAGAAGACTTTATTTTATGTAATAAAGTCCAGTTTTCTGAAAATGACCAGTATGTGTTTATATTTCTATAATTATTTTAGTTTCGGAAAATATTCTGCACTGCGTCTTGGGACACAATCACGTAAGCGACCTTCGAAAATTAAGTCGTCAAGTCATCAGCAAGATGAAAGCTCAAGAGAGGCCATCAAAAATCATTCACCAAAAGATTGCAACTTCTTCTTTCAAAGAACACATGACAACAACGAACATCTCTTGTATTCGGAGGAATATGAGCAACGATCGTTTTCCTTTTATGTTACCTGTACATAAAACAATGGGAAAGCGCATCAAGCAATCCAACAGATGAATCTAAAGACGGACCGCGATAAATGTTTTGTGTTGGATAACGATTCGCAACAAAATATTATTTTTGTCATTCTTGAGAATTTACGATAGATGGGGAAAGCAGAGGCATATTACTTGGATGGTACATTTCAACATGCTCCACAAATATTCTTGCAATTATTTACCATCCAGAGCTTATTAAATGGGCATTACTCAAGAAGTTGGTATCGTTGTAAGTCCAATAAAACTTGTGGCTGATTTCGTAATTGCCGTTCGACCATCTGTGAACCAAATTGGGTGTTTATTTCACTTGACTCAAAGTTGGTTTCGCAAAATCCTAAAACTTGGTTTGGTAACCACTTACAAGAGGGGAGATACCAACGGCAACTGGCTGTACCACTTATTTGCCTAGCTATTTTGGACCTAGAACAAGTCGGAGATCGTTTTGTTAACGATTTCATGCGGATATCCCTAACCTACCTTCATTTATGAAAATGGCCGATTATATGGTAGAGAACTACGTAAGTAATGAGTCTCTTTTCCCTCTAACTGTTTGGGTTTTCCAGTCTAGCCATATACATTTCACCACAAATCCATGCGAATCCTTTCATTTCCATTTTTCCAACTATTTGTACCATTCTCATCCCAATATCCTCACTTTTGTATCTACGCTTTTACAGTATTAAACAATGGTATACATAAAACTGCAGAGTTGACATGTACCTGTCCTGTTTTCACAGGATAATATTTCTTTAAGTAGACTTTAACCGTTTATAAAAGCCAGGAGACTATACTAAAGCATTTTGATTTATTATGTCATAATAAATAGATTTCTAATTAGTTAATAAGTTGACGACTATTTCCGATATATACAGAAACAGCACATGCTCATAAATATTTTCATTATAAAGTCACTATCGAAAACCTATGCAACTGAATTTTCAGACTCAAAACCGCTTTAATTGGTAGATACGCCAAATAAACCACATCGTAATAAAATCGATATTAATATCTATTTTAAAGCAATTTGCTTAAAATAATTTCTGAATTTAATAAATTACCACATAAACTAGAAGAGTAACAGGTATAAAAAAAAGTACTAGCAAGCACTCTTGACCATGGAGCTGCGCGAAGGCGGAGTCAAATTCACGTAAAGGCATAAAGGTTCTATTGTAAATGGAATTATACAGTGCATAGTACAATGCGTTTCACACGGAAGTGGTGACTAAACCAAATTTCATCTACTGCGCCGTGGTCAAGAGTGCTTGCGCGCACTATAACTGGCTATCTTCCGCATTAGAAACCAGCGCATTGGGACAAAAATACTGGTGATTAGTTTACCTATGTATGGTGATGAGTTTATCTATCTCCAAAGGATGACGGTGATCAGTTTACTATATCTTGGAGGGTCTAATAATTTTATGGGGGGCTATACAGTGATAAGTTCGTACACGTCTCGGAAACCAAATGGTAAATTTTTTGAAATCGTCTACTCAGTTTGGAAGGCGATACGGAAGCTTAATCGGGCTCAGCTAGACTGGTCAATTTCTCTTTGTCAAAGATAAGGGATTAAGTGCACAAAGCCGAGAAATGGTTTGCAATAAATTGAAATTTATTAAGTTGAAAGCAGAGCGTGGAGATGTATCCCGATTAGAAAGCGAAACATCTTCAATAAATAGATTAAGTAGCCACCTTCTTTGTCCCGCCTTTTGACCGAAAAACCCACCACTCTTTGAGTGATCCTTGTTGTATATATATATATATATATATATATATATATATATATATATATATATATATATATGTATATATATATATATATATATATATATATATATATATGTATATATATATATATATATATATATATATATATATATATATATATATATTAAAATATCACACCTACCTCTTACTCCTTTTATCCAGTCGACGTTAAAGGCCTCGCATTCGTCACTATCCGTGATGACTCGATTGGGTCCGAGAAGATCCTTGAAGAATCCCACATGCTGTTTGTCTAAGTTGGCGTATTCTCCCCTTTTCACGTGTGGGTATCGATCCTGTAATGAGAATTTCGGTCGTTTCTTTGTGCTTTGTACTTTCATTATATTGCATAGGCGGACACAAAATAAATATTGGTATTATTCGGGATTTAATATATTTTTTAATAAATTTGCACAGTATTTACATTTTTTTATTAAATTTATTTATTACAATAATTTAGTTTCTTATTATATACTTGCACAAGATATTTTCAAATATGCCGGTGTAAAGTTTGAAGTTCTCAAGTCGCAGTTGCGAAGATTATCATTAAAAAACGCCTTTTTTAGGAATGATTTATGGAAACTTTTTAATGAATTAGACTTCTTTTGGGAAAAGCACGATAAAAAGGATATAATAACACGCTACCCTTCCTGGATGTTTTAATCTCTAAGAACGATACTGGATATGAGACTCAGGTATATAGAAAACCAACACACACCAATAGATATTTAAATTTCAAATCTAATCACAATATTAATGTAAAAAAGGGAATAATTAAATCCTTATACGATAGAGCCAAAATTACTTGTTCTAACGAAAATTCGTTCTTGGAGGAGAAACATTTGTTAACATCTGTTTTATTAAAAAAATGATTATCCTTTATCGTTTATAAATAAGGAATTTTCAACAATCGATCGAATAGAACAGAACAACTTAGAACGAGATCCTACAGCATACACAAGGAATAATACGAGGAAAATAACAATACCGTACATAAAAGGATTATCAGAAAAACTTAAAAGGATAGGAAATAAATTCAACATTTCAACAACATTCAAAACAACAAACAAGTTGAGATCTATTTTGTCCAAAACCAAACCTAACAATAAACAAGAAAAGATAAAGAATTGCATTTATAAAATACCTTGTGAATGCGATCAGTTTTATTTAGGTGAAACATCAAGGCCATCAAATGTTAGAATAAGTGAACATCAATCTTATATTAAAAATAGAGAATTTGATACATCTCAAATATGTAAACACGCATGGGATAATGAACATAGGGTTCAATGGAATAATTCAAATGTAGTAGTAATAATAATAATTGTAGAAGGAATAATTCACATGTAGTCCTAAAAGAAACGGATGGTAAAAAAAGAAAAATTAAAGAAGCGGCTCTAATTATGCTAAATGAGGCCAATAGTGTCGCAAATTCCTCGGCAGAATGTAGTAGGATCTGGTTACCAATATTGAAAGAGGAAGTTATTAATAAGAAAATACCAGTATTAGGAAGTCAGTAACATATAGAGGATACATCATTTATGTTTTTTAAATAACGAAACATATAAAATCAGAATTTTGGTGTTTATTGAAGGTAAACTAAATGCACGAACAAATACTTACCATGTCGGGATAGTATTATGAGGTTTTTTTCCTGGTTTTTCCCTCATAATTTACTATGGAATCACTAACAGGAGAATTTTACTGTCATCATGTCATGTGTTTGTCTTATTCTCTGTCATATTCTCAAGTTAAAGTTGATTTCATGTAATCGAATGAACTATCTTATAAGTAAAGTCGCCCCAGGAGCGCAACTCAACAATATTGGCAATATCATTTTAACGTCGTCTACTTTAAAATGCATAATGTATGTCCGAATTGTCAATATAAATGAGTCAGATAAAATTAAATTATTAGAAGAGTTACTATGTAACAAAAAACAAAATTTGTTTAATTTACTGTTTGTATTTTGAGAACGATTTCCGAAGTGGAAATTGAAACGTCAATAAACGTATTTTTATCTTTAATTGTGGCTTATTCCCAGTTAAATAGTAATTAATGGATTATACGGCCTGCAAACAAAACCGTAAATGGACAGAGATTTATCCTACTTATCCGCAAGTTAGTCAAAATAGGTAGGTGTGTATTACTACACTAAGTACAGATAAATCTAAGCAGTGAAGTCTTTAAAGGGATTATAATAGCTATTTTACTAGCACGAAAACGGTAACTATTTAAAAAGGTTTGTTAACATATCTAAGGATTGTTTGATTAAAAGGTATTAGCGGGCTAAAATACTTTTTTGGTAAATTTTTACAGAAACTTAAGTCATGTACACAGTTATTCTATAAAATTTAATAAAATTAGACAAAGAAGATTAGACAAAATTTAACAAACGCAAATTTGATACGTTACACATTTTCTAGAGATCAACTCCATCGTAGTTATGGACAATGATAGTAACCATTCGACCATTCCCAAATCCAGTATACACATGTTATAATTTTTTGTTATTTTAGTAAACTTTTTTAATTAAAGTACATACAAAATATCAATTGAATGAACAAATAATTGTTTAAATAGTTATCTAAAATAAGATATAGACTTAATACTAATTCTTCATTCAATCCTACTCTACATCTTTATCAGTCCTATCTACACCTGTCCTAACAGTAGTTGTTACTCCCTCATACATGTCTCTCACAATCTTCACATACTCTTATACCCACTACTTTTATATTAAGTGTTCACAACAAAATCTCACGTGGGACTCCGTCATAATATGCTTCCCCAATATCGATCTTATTTAGTTTAGTACTTTCACAAAATTATCGATTAGTAGTTTTTCGCTACGCCAATGGAAGGTGAAAAGCGTGTTAGAAGACTAATGGAGGCAATTGTATTAAGAGTGCGTGGGGTTTTGGATTTCGGAAGGGTTCATGCAGAAAAATATAACAAGGAATAATAAAAGCGAATGAGCCCATGTTAAAAGTAGGCTTCTGATGGATTGCGTAGCGTGGGCACGACGCTGTTGAAAAGTGTGACATTTAACACATCGACAATGCCAAAATACTTTTATACTCGATTTGGAAATGTGATGTGATAGCCCAGATTTTAGGACAGAAGATTACAACGCTCAACTGTAACAACTATCTGGAGCTGTATATGAAGCAGGACTAGCATTCCCTAAATACAAGAATAATAGGATATTAAGACCAACACAATTCGTAGAACTCAAACTCGAGCATTTTACAGGAAAGAAAGGGAAACTAAAGATAATATATTTATTTTAAGAAACAATAGAAAAGAGTAGAGACAGAGGAAATATGGTACAGGGTATTTATGGAGGTCACACTTGATCTTCCTCCATTAGATATATGGATGGGGAAGGAGGCGAAGGTAGGAGCATTCAAAAGGCGGATAAGACAGCAGGAAGGAGGGCTGGAGCGGGATCATATCTGGAGAAATAATTAAAAATCAGCTAAAGTTGGAAATGGTACAAGATATAATGCGACCTAAATATACTTAATTTCGAAAATCCGTTTACCGTCCTCTTTCACGAAGGGACGAATGGGAATAAAATGAATCTTATAATGGCAGGAGGAAGGAGTTGGAACTGGAGTATACGCAGGGAAACCAAGTCTAAGTCTTGTGAAACCTACGTAATGACTATATCTTCCAAGTGGAAATTTATGCTATAGAAATGTGCCTGCAGGAACTCATAAAAAGGAGCTGTAGGGATATATGCATTAGAGGCACTGGATCGAATCTGATTCTAAAAGTTAGTTTGGAACTGTCTTTAGAATGTAATTAGAATCGGAGAAAGTAATAAAGGAAGTTTACTCTGGGTGCCTCGACATACTGGTATTAAAGAGAACGAAAAAGACCTTCTTGATAGGGGAGGGGCAAAACAAACATTTATAGGCCCAGAATCTTTCGTTGGTCAAAGAAAACCAGAACAAAAACAAAGATCTACTAGATATGAATAGGAATGATCTGCGAATCATCGTAGGTCTCCTTAATAGGACACTGACGCCTTAAGGAGCACATGAACAAAATCCGGCACTGACAGAAAGTACGAATTTCAGATTCTATCAGGGTGATGGCGAGACGGTGGAACACGTTCTGTGCAACTGCTCGGTTGAGCAGGATGAGACTCATTGCATTAGAGCATACTCGAGTCTTAGGACTTCGAAGAAGTGTCACCTAAGGCTATACGCGACTACAAGGCTGGGTTGAAGGGACAATAACGTAAAGATAAGTCACAATAGAGCTCTTAAGTCGAGTTGAAGGGTGCCCACTCATATTGAACTTAACCTAAACTAATGAAGAAACTTTTGATGGGATAGATAGAAAGATGCTTTGGGACTGGTTTAGAGGCTTAGAGATGCCGGAAAGAAACTATATAAGTCGGGAGAACTTATACCAACAACCCATAATAAAGATTATTGAAAGGAATTAATTAGGGAGGTATATCTCTACGTGTGGAAGAAATTAGATTGATCAGAAAAGTTTTTGGCACGGCAGATATACAAGATCAAAGAGAAAGTAGGAACATCGATAGAAGAAATGAAACATTTATCAATGGACAGGAAAAAATTAATTAAAGAATAGCTACAAGCAGCTCCGATGCCTTTTATAGGGATTGAGAAGAAGCTGAAACAAAAAGAAGCCTTATCAAGGAATGGAATATATGATTAGATTAGGTTGGACGAAACAATTTGTCATGATGAGTAACAAAGAGGTAGACGTCCCGGAAATAGTAGAGTGGTCTTCTTTTATTTAACTCAGTGAGAAGGTTAATTAAAACAAAAATTTCCACAAAAACTCACTAAAATTCAACACTACTGCTTGCTACCTCTCGGGAACCACCAGAGAACAATGACTGTTCGCTTTGCAAACTTGGAAAACCAACTGACTATCTTTTTTTCTTCAAAAAACTAACTAAAGTCTCATTCTCAAACCAACCATCCCACCTTTTTCAATCTCATCCAATCAAAACGCGCCATACATCTCCCATTTCTTCATTTCGATAACACAAACAAATTTTTACCTACAATTATAAAATTTCCTAAAACTTATTTACAAACTAATCTTTTTCTACCAATTCTTATGAACTAACAAAAACATATCTTTCTAAAATCTATTCTATTGTCCTAATTACTGCACAAATTTATTTGGAAAACCCGCTTCCATTGTCTAGGATTTCACTTAAGCTTATTCACGTCACTCAAATATATTTTACAAAGAAAATAATTTATGCATATCTTACGTTCTGTTTAATACAAGTAATCCAAAGATAATGGGCTTTCATTCTTCGAAATGTTTGTAGTTTATTATTCGACTTATCTGAATTATACCAATATTTTTCTCGATTTTACCTATCATAACAATAAATATATATATATATATATATATATATATATATATATATATATATATTTAACGTGATTATTTCGACCAAAAAACAATTTATTAGTATGTTGGAAATATCGGGTATGTGGTCTATGTTAAAATAAAAATCTTTGTTTTTTTTTCTAAAACTCAATATTTCGCTCTTTATTTAAAAGCTTCATCAGGAGTAGCTGTAAAAAACAAACATTTCAAAAAACTGACGTACACTTAGATTTACAATACTTACAGAACTTAAAATATTTCACACATAAATAAATTTGATATTAAAATAAACATTTTTTGATAATGTATAAGCATTGCTAAAATGTAAATATATATGAGCACGTTCGTTAACAGTAAGTAAATGAGATGGAAACAAGTAAAAGTTATTTAAAATGCAAAAACTAACAATGTAAGAAAACAGAGGAATATTATTTCTTTAATTAATCATTAAGGCTAGTTAGTATGATTAATCATTAAGGTGAGTGAGTTTTAAATTTTTTTCAATATATTGCAATATATGTTGCTTAATTGCCCGGTGTCTGTATTATAATTTAAAGTTTGTGTATTTTTGTTGATGTGGTACATCTCCAAAAATAAAATACTTTTGTAATTGTCAGTCTGTGCCAGAATACGGGCATTGTTATAGTCCAACAGATGACCGGTGTTTTTATAATGCTCGACTACTGCACAACTATTTTTTCCCAAGAGGCAATCACTTTTGTGCTGTGTGATACGTTGTTTAAGCCACTGTGATGTATGGCCAATGTAGCTTTTTTCACATCCTAGACACGGTATTTCATATACCACATTACTCCTATATAAGGTTGGTACTTTATTATCAAATATCAAATTTTTTTCATACTTTTAATATCAAATTTATTTATGTGTGAAATCTTTTAAGTTCTGTAAGTATTGTAAATCTAAGTGTACGTCAGTTTTTTGAAATGTTTGTTTTTTACAGCTACTCCTGATGAAGCTTTTAAATAAAGAGCGAAATATTGAGTTTTAGAAAAAAAAACAAAGATTTTTATTTTAATATAGACCACATACCCGATATTTCCAACATACTAATATATATATATATATATATATATATATATATATATATATATATATACATGATGAAAAATATTGTGTGACTGTAGATAGCAATTGATTGGCAAAATCACTAGTATCAGTATAAGCATATTAAGTACTCTTACTATTACTTACGTATACTTGTTTTCTTTTTCTCTACACCAAATCTGCCTTGTCTTCCTTGAATAACGTTCAAGAAGTTATCAAATGTATGCTTATATAAAAATATTTCAAACAAGCTAATTTAAACCACAAAGGGACTTATTATAGGTCTTATAAGGTCTCATTCTTTCTTACTTTTCATCAAAGAAGAAGTATCGACATAACTAATTCCGTCAATTCAGATAATCGTTATATTCTTCCCTCAGTTCCCAATTCTCCAATCATTATCAATAAACCTACAATCCGATTAAAGATACACTTCAGCAGCGTTGCCGTTAGTGAATGAAGTTCAGTGAAAATTAGAGTATATTATGTGGTTCGTTTCAATTAAGTTCTTATAATGATGAAGTATGTTTGTTTCTATCTTTTTTTTTCTTTCTTCCTTCCAATTAAAAATTTAACTGGTTAACAGTAATGGTTTTAAATACTGAACAACTGAAATATTTAAAAGAATAAAAGAAGTCCTTCTTTTCCTAATCTGTAGGTTTTAGCAGATATGTAGTGATGATGACATGACAGTTGGTGTTCTTTCAAGGTTCTCTTTTGATAAGTGTTCTATATATTTCTCTGGTATATGTTGATGGTAATGCACTCGTTGAGTTTTAATCTTCTAGTTTTTTCATTGTGTCAGTCCATATGGATATATGATATACATGTTGCTCTCTACCACCCTTTTCCTATAATTTCCATAGATTATTAGCTTCACGCCATATTGCCGATACTGATAGTATCACCATAAAAGGTTGTTAATCTCAAGAACTTATGGGTTTGTCCTTCTGTTTTCAATAGTTAAGACTTGGAATCCGAGTGCTAAGTTACTAGCTGGAAACTCAAACTCAAAGACGAAGAGGGGCATACTTGTTCTACTACTGTGCTGCACAATGATCGGTACTAGATATTCGCAGTTGATGAAATTGATTCAACTCTGGAGGATAAATAATTGTACCAGTTTTCGTTTTTTTTTTAATAGAAGCGTTCTCGAGGTATTTAAAAAAAATTAATTACAAGGCACTTAAAATAAAATAAAAACTAAATAAGACTAAATAAAATTAAATAATGGTAAATAGAATTAAATTAAATTAAATCAAGTTAAACAGAACTATGTAGAATTAAATAATTTTTTGAGAGTTTGTTGTGGGGGTAGAAGAATAGTTCGGTGGATCGTGACGTATGATACATCATTAGAAAGCAGAGGCAGTGGCGAATATATAGAGACAGAAAAAACACACATTACGGAATTGCTAAGAGGGCATTACATCATATCTCCTTTGTGTTTCGTCCGATTGGAGGGTGTGATATGTTAAATCAAAGAGAAGGATATCACGAATATATTACGATATAAAAAACAAACAAAGCGACTACCAAAACGGCACTACACAGTGTCTTCATTATTAATGAACGTACAGTTACGAGATGTCGTAGGACACTATGCAAAAAAAATAGTTTAACCAAAAGACAAATTTTGATTTATTGATTTAGAGAAGAAGGCCTCCGGCTGAGTGCAAAATAAACAACTGAAAGAATCCTAACATGAGAGATAGCAAATGAAAGTGGAGGATATAACGAATATATTCAGATAGAAAAGCCAAACAAGGCGACTACCAAAAAGGCACTATACAGTATCTTCATTATTAATAAACGTATAGGGACATACAAGGTATCAGAGGGCACTATAGATAATAATAGATTTATCATAAGACAAATTTTGATGTGTTGACTTAAAGAAGTCCTCTGACTGAATACAAAATAAACAACTAATCGAATCTTAACAGGGCAAAAAAACAAACAAGGCACTAAAAAGACACTACACAATACTTCATTATTAATTAATGTATAGCGACATAGGAGATATCATAGGGCACTATGGATACAAATAGATTTACCATAAGACAAATTTTGATTTACTGACTTACAGAAGGCCTCAGGCTGAGTACAAAATAAACAACTGATCGAATCCTAACATGCGACATAGCAAATCAAAGGGAAGGATATAACGAATATATTTAGATAGGAAAAACAAACAAAGGCACTACACATCGTCTTCGTTATTGAACGTATATCGACATACGATATATCATATGACACTATGGATGATAATAGACATATCTGCTTTAAATATAAAGCATAAGGTAAATATAAGGTAAATTCACTTTATTGGCCTAAAAAGGGTCTCTGACTGATTATAAAATAATCAACTAGCCTAATCTAATACTAACAAATCAAATCAAATCACGTGAGACGTATAGTACATAAAATATATTGTATATAGCGTATATATACATATATATATATATATATATATATATATATATATATATATATATATATATATATATATATATATATATATATATATATATATATATATATCGAATCCTTATTGAGAGAATACAAATTTAAGGTAGAAATTTGGCATCTTCGCAGCGCAGTAACTTCTCTGTCTCATACATACCTTAGTAAGTTGCGGCAGCGAGCCCAAACTGGCGAGTTGTCTGCGAAAGTGGAAGGGCCGCCCTGGCGAGGGTCTTGCTGGGAAAGGGCGACTCCCTGGGGAACGGGAGAGCAGCCCGATCAACTGACGGGCTCCCTTGACGAACATGTGCTCTGCTGCCGTCGGTTAGAGGAAGGGAGAATTCTGGATTAGACGCTGAATCTGGAAAAACAGAAACTTTATTAGTTTTGCGTGCGGCGCTCTTTTGTTGGATGAATACCAATATTAACTTGGGAGGTTCTTTTAATAAAATTTCGTTGAAACTATATTGAGTTTTAAAATTTTCAAAAGAATTACCAATATATTATTATAAAGTAAGATAATAATATGTAATTATTTAGATTTTCTCTCTTTTGATTTTTGGTTTAGCTTTCGTAATTGTTTTATTCCTTTTTCAAGACACTGTAATTAGAAAAATGTGTAAATATTTACAATATATCACAATTCGTCAGTGCAACTTATTAGTCGTTAAGATTATTTATATAAAGCTTTGACACTCAAGATTAATAACACATATAAAATATAACATATAAAATAATGGACAAAATACATTTTAAAATTTAGTTAAGGATAGTAAAACTTCGTTTGTGACATCTTTTAATGGTGCGTTTTAACTGATCCATAGAAAGCAGAAAGAAAAAACAAAAATGGTATGATTAAAAAGTAATTAGGTGTTCTTTATGTTTTATTAATGGAAGTAATATATTAAACCTGTCTTGATGGTATGCAACATGTTTTACATGCAGTTGTATAATGGTCTGTATATGTAAAAGTAAATCTTTATTTTATTTTTGATGTTTTGTCAGTAAATAACAATAAATAATGCTCAAATCATGATCAAATCTGTTCTCCTCAAGAACTTCCCGTTTATTGTCAAAACAACTGCAATAGCACATTAAAGTTCTCCAATCAACAATACATGATTTTTGCAACCATGACCTACCATCCATCAATTAATAGAGTACTGGCATGTAAGTAATGTTTGTTTTGTTTTATTTATTTGCTCATTTATTAATTTATTACAATATAAGATTGCTACTTTATAGCAATTGTGGGTCTTACCTTGTCTGTTAATACCTTTTATATATTCAAATTATTCATTTTGAAAACCACAGACATGTAATATTGGCATAATTACTATAATTTGTATGAACTAATTTATTTGTTTATTTTATCTTTATGAGACACCACCCTAATTGGGTTTATTTTATTGCAGCATTAGTTTAACTTTGTATCTCGACCTGAAGATGCTTTGCAAATTGTAGAAAGCGAAACCGGTCGTCAGATTGTTAAATTAAATTGATTGTGAGTAAGTCTTATTATTATTTCTTTACCTATTTAAATAATGCTCAGTTTATCTATGTTAGACTTTTTATTTATACAAGACGTATTGGATTTTATGAAACACATTTCTAAGAAAACACGTTTTGAATGGTTTTTTCTTTGCAAAAATATAGGAATCCTCGAAATTAAATTCATATTTTAACGTTTATGCATGTTCTGTCAGCGCACATACATTTATTTTTTTGACTTTTATGTCGCTACGATGTGAGATCACCCTACTGTAAAAATTACGAGATGATTCTGCGATATACACGTTTTTACAATTTGCACACGGTATATGTATACCAAATATGTATAACTAAATTTTAAAATGTATTTTGTCCATTATTTTATGTTATATTTTATATATGTGTTATTAATGTTGAGTGTCAAAGCTTTATATAAATAATCTCAACGACTAAGTTGCTCTGACGAATTGTGATATATTGTAAATATTTTCACATTTTTCTAATTACAGTGTCTTGAAAACGGAATAAAACAATTCCGAAAGCTAGACCAAGTCTAGCTAATTCACTAATATCCAGTATCTCTAATATATATATATATATATATATATATATATATATATATATATATATATATATATATAGCAAAAAATACGACCGTTGATTAAATTTAAAAAATATTCAATAGTTGAATATCAGAGGTTGTATCGGTCAATAATAGGCAAATGAAAGTCGTCAACTACTTCATTGATTTAATCGAATACGTTTCGCTTTTTAGTTTTCAAAAGCATCATCAGTTCACTACAAATAAAAATAAAACGATGTAAAATATAAGTAAATAACCAAAAGGGTTCATACTTACAAAAACAATTTGTAGGTTTTGTAAAAGATGTTAAAAACACTCTACGATAACTTAACATTAAAAAATTTAAAAACTAAACGATAGAATCGAAACAAAAAACACACAGGAAAAAACTGAAACAGCACTATTGTTTATTTAATTTTTAAAATTAAAATTAAATAAACAATAGTGCTGTTTCAGTTTTTTCCTGTGTGTTTTTTGTTTCGATTCTATCGTTTAGTTTTTAAATTTTTTAATGTTAAGTTATCGTAGAGTGTTTTTAACATCTTTTACAAAACCTACAAATTGTTTTTGTAAGTATGAACCCTTTTGGTTATTTACTTATATTTTACATCGTTTTATTTTTATTTGTAGTGAACTGATGATGCTTTTGAAAACTAAAAAGCGAAACGTATTCGATTAAATCAATGAAGTAGTTGACGACTTTCATTTGCCTATTATTGACCGATACAACCTCTGATATTCAACTATTGAATATTTTTTAAACATATATATATATATATATATATATATATATATATATATATATATATATATATATATATATATATATATATACATAACCAAAATGTTGCAAGAACTAATAAATCAGAGGATAAGCTTAGCCAATAAACAACCTTTATCTGCTAAGAGTCGAGAAATCACCAGAGCAGGGGTCGGCAACCTGTTTGTCCTTATAGGTGCAATACTAAATTTCAAAATCAAATCACCGAGGACGCATATTTTACAGATAATGAACAGATAATGAATAGGCATTAAAAAAACAGACTTTTTATGACTTTATTTTGTTACGGTCATACATAATGATAAATTTAATATAATTGACTGTGAAACTTGGGTATAAATTTTTTTAAATAATTTCTTATAATTGGTGCTATATTTAGAGTTTCCCGTCTTTAAACAGTTATCTAAATCATGAATGTGGCCCAAATAAATGCAGCCCAAATAAACTGTGTGTTTATATATATATATATATATATATATATATATATATATATATATAATAATTATTATTATCTTACTTTATAATAATATATTGGTAATTCTTTTGAATCTCCTCGTCGTCTGTGAGCAATTGTCCTGCATCGTCTTTTATAAATCTTGGATTGTTGGTCGTGTTGCTCTTAATTGTTTTTAGGTCCTCATAAAACTGTCTAGACTGACCGGTTCTATATTCCTCCTCCAGTTGCTGTATTCGCGCGTCTAGGTACTGTTTCTTTTTTCTTCTCAAAAGTCTTCTCGTTTGAGTCCTTACTCTGTTGTAGTCTTCCCTGTTCTTATCTGTAGGGCGTGTTAGTAACTCTAGCCTCTTAATTGCTTTCTAATGCAAGCTTTGTTCGCACTCCTGGTCAAACCACTGGTTTTTCTTCTTGTTATTTTATCTATTCTATATTTCTATCTTGTTATATATGGCGTTCGTTATATTTTGCCATTTCTGGTCAATTATGGTCAATTCTGGCGTTGATGTTTTTTCTTCTTCCAGTGTCTGCAATTTGTTTTGGATCAGTACCTGATATTGGCGTTCATTATCAGGTAAATCGAGCCTTGAAATGTCCCATCTGTTTCCTTGTTGGCGTTCCTTTGGCTGTCTCATATTTAGCCTTGTTCTCATTTTGTTCTCATCTTCTTATTTTTCATATTTTTCTTATTTCATAATTATTTTCAAAGAAAATAATTATTTTCTTTCAAAACCCTGCATGGATCAATGTAACATAAAAAGAACATATTTTAACGATGAATGGAGTGGAATGGGATATTGTTTCATTGATTACAAAGTGTACCTATTTGTTTGTTGTATAATAATAGTGTTGGGACTCCCAAGAAAAGTAATATTAAACGACATTTTAAGACCGTTCATACCAATTTTGGTAGTGACTACCAACGAACTCTGAAATTAGAAGAAAAAAATTATTTCTTTAAAATCTTCAATAACTAACCAGCAAAGTTTTTTCACTAAACCACTGCAACAACAGCAACGATCGCGTCATATCAAATATTCTATTTGTTAGCTAAGAATAAAAAACCATTTACAGAGGGAGAATTAGTGAAAATCAATCAATCAAATCAATCAAAATGTAATAATCAGCAAAGAACCAATCAGATATAAAATAGAAATAGATGGCATCAGTATTGAATAAGTACTGCAATCGGTAGCACGATTAACTTTTAAGAAAACAATATATTAAATTGGTATTTACCTGTTTACAAATCACACCTTTTATTTTACAGCTCATATATTATACGATTTTAATAAATAATTATGCACATATACGACTAAAAACTTTTTACATCAAACGTTGAACTCTTGAAGGTCACACTGATAAGATAAAGAAGAGATTAACTAAATTGTAAATAAAATTAGGTAGCATGTAAATAATAATATAGCATTAGTGTTAATATCTGTGTTGATAAAAACTTTGACATAATGATTGATAAAAATGTATATACGGAGTGAGTTTTTAGTGCGATATTGGTCGATAATTTCATTATGGTACAGAATATCCAAAAAAGTTCTTCTTCTTCTTATCGTGCCCTATCAAGTCCCCTTGACGTTGGCGATTAACATGGCGAAACTGTCTCTGTCTCGAGCTATTCTAAATAGTTGCTCAGCTTTCTTTATTCCTGTCCTCTCCCTGATATTCTTCAACCAAAAGGCCTGCTTTCTACCAATTCCTCTGCGTCCTTCGATTTTAATTTAGATATAGATAATAACTCCAAAAAAGTTATTTAGAAAAAATAGGCATTGATATACTCCAGACTTGGATAATATATATGGATAATAATTTTACGATTTATGATTAATAACTACATGCTAAAGCCAACAAGGAAAAGTGGAAGGAAAGAGATGGATTGGTCAAAAGAAACTTTTATGGCTGCGTAATATTAGACAATGGTGTGGTTCCACAGTAGAAGAATTATTTCGCGCAGCAGCCGACAGAGAAAGGTTTCAGGAAATTGTAACATGATGACGGCCAACGTCTGAATTTGGGTGCCGGACACGGCACCCAAAGAAGAAGAAGAAAGCCAACATGCATTTTTTTAAATTAATAGGACACTATACTGTATATTTTCCCTTATTTAGATTCGTCTTTATATCATCTGTTATTCGTATATTCGTCATAATACCTGTTCTTACAATATTCGGTTTTACACTACTATACAGGATATTTAACTTCATAACTGTCGATTGTGACGAGCAATTATTAATAAGTAAAAGGCCACTTGTATCAGTTAACAACGGCAAAACAGTAGGCTTTGAACAACTGACAGTTTTCATATTATTATCTGAATAATATGTCTGTGTAATTTTAAAAATGAATTTTTCTGTAAAAGAATTAACAAATATGATCTGGGTATTAAAAAATAGTTCTAGAAATTGCCTACTTACATCCTGAATACATCAACAGCGATATCCTGACAGGAGGAAGCCAAATGTAAGAGCTTTTGAAAACTTCACCAGAAAAAATGGGAGAACCAAACATAAACTTTCTAGTTATTGTTGAACAAACTAAATGTGTTTAAGCCAGTTTAACAATAAAAGTCAGTAAAAGAAAAATATTAAATGTAACAATAAAACACTGAAAACTTTGTTTTCAAACTTCCACAAAATTTATTTTAAACTTTTATCATTACAGCTGTTTCGGCTGATTGTCTTTTTCAAGTGATCTATTTTTGACATGTTTTTACGCAAAAATTTTAAATTCGTCATTAAAAGAATGATTGTGATCTAGAAGGTGAAGTGCGTATGTAGAATCTGTTTTTCTATTACTGAAAGCCCTTTTATGTTCTGCTATTCGTTTATTAAAGTTTCTACCAGTTTGACCGATATAAGTTTTTGGGCAGTCGCCATATTTAAGTTTGTACGCACTACTGTGTAAGTGTTTTTTATTTTGGCTCTTGTTGTTTTTAATATATTTGCCTAGGTTGTTATTTGTTCGGAAAGCTGGTGTTATTCCTTTATTTTTTATGTGTTTCGCCATTTTTGTTGATATTTTGCCTGTATATGTAACCGAGCAGAAGGTACTGGGTTTTTTTGTAGTGGTGGAAATACTAATTTCAGGAATTTCTTCTATAGTTTTTGATTTAACATTTTATTAATTGTTTGTTCGTTGTATCCGTTGTTTACTGCTATTTGCTTAATGATATTTAATTCTGTCTCAAAGTTGTATTTTGACATCGGAATTTCTGTTAATCTATGTAACATACCCTGATAGGCTACCAGTTTATGTTGTGTTGGATGGGATGATGAATTGTGTATAGTCGTGTCGGTATGGGTAGGTTTATGAAATATGGAGCAGTCATGTTTGTTTTTAAATCTGATAATTTTTAAATCTAAAGAATTTATGGATTGATTTTGTTGTTTCTATTGTAAATTTTCTATTGTAAATGTTCCTGTGAAACATACCAGTACGTCGTCTACGTATCTCCACCAATATAAAAACTGTTTAAATACGGGATGTTTTGAAATCTTTGTCTCTAGATGATATATTTTTTTTTGCGAACACTCACACCGCACATTTTCGAAACTTTTTCCACAGTAATAGTTAAACTGTCACTGTGATAGTTCCATACATTTAACACCACACATTTCACTTGCACACTAAGAGTCATACCCTGTTTGAAATTCACAGATACTGGCAACGGCTCCATCATGTAGGAAATTTCATCCACTTGCGAAAATGAAATAGATCTGAGCTTTCATAAATTTTGCTAACAAGTTTTTGGTTTAATGGCCAGTACCTAAATCGCCAAAGCACAAGCCAAAGTAAGAAAAAAGATAACTCAAAAAAAGAACGAATCATGGGAACAGAACTGTCAAAAGATCAAAACCTACATAGGAGGTAGAAGAAGTACAGAGAGTTGGAGATTGATTAAAAGTATGAGAAATAATAAGAAAAAAGACGTTATATCACCAATAACAATAGAAAAATGGGAAGAATATTTCAAAAAATTACTAACAGAACAAAGACATTTGCTAACATGGAAGACAACACGATAGGTATACGTATAAATTCATCACCATTACAAATCAGTAAATCAGAGATGGAAGAAATAACCAAATCCCTGAAAAATGGAAAATCCCCTGGTCCCGGTGACATCCCTGCAGAATTAGTGAAAGCCGGTACAGACAAACTCCAGGAACAGTTAAGAAAACTCTTTCAAGACTGCTTGAATGGGGCCGAAGTACCAAAAGAATGTAAATTATCTATCATGTCAACGATTCACAAAAAGGGCAGCAAGAATCAGTGTGAAAATTACAGAGGAATTGCGGTAAACAGCACAATAAGTAGGATGTATGGGAAACTTATTAAGAACAAAATAGAAAATGACTATAGAGATTACGAAGCAGAGGAGCAAGCTAGTTTTAGAGCTGGGCGATCCACAGTAGACCACCGGTACTCTATTACGCAAGTTATTGAGAAAAAAAACAGCCTTCAATAAAGAAGTTCAGCTGGTGTACGTAGACTTACAAAAAGCATATGGCAGTGTATCCCTAAGTAAACTATGGTCAACCCTACCGCAAATCAACATTAAGCATGGTCTTATCAAAGCAGTCCAAAGTCTGTATAATGGAACAACTGCAAAAATTAAAACTGGATCAAGGATATCTGAAGGATTTAAGGTCACGAAAGGGCTAAAGCAGGGTTGCTGTATTTCGCCTACCCTTTTCAAAATGTATTTGGAACAAGCACTCAAGCTATGGAAAAGATAATGTAATGGCATGGGGATTCCTCTCAATGACGAGACTACACTGTACACCTTATGTTTCGCTAATGACCAAATACTGATTTCCCAGGATCATGACGACTTGAGTTACTATGACTCGGAAGCTAATAGAAGAATATAACAAATGGGGTCTCGAAGTCAACATTAAGAAAACTGAAGCCATGTGTATTGGAGGAACAAAACAGTCTATAATATTAGACGATGGGGTAGAAATTAGAAACTGTGATGAATACAAGTACTTGGGTATGAAGATAACTCAAGATGGAACACTCGATACTGCTATAAAAGACAGAAACATACAGGGTAGAAAGGCCATATCCATGATGAACGGCATTCTGTGGGACCAAACAATATCTAAAGCGAACAAACAACTCATATACAACACCATACTTAAAAGTGTAATCACATATGGCAGTGAAGTTTGGCCAATGAAACAAAGAACAGAGAAACTGTTACTAGCAACAGAGAAACTGTTACTAGCAACAGAAATGGACTTCTGGAGAAGAGAATACGAGAAATGATGGGAGTCAAGCATACAATAGTTGATGACATAAAAACAAAACAGTTAATATGGTACGGCCACGTACAGAGAATGCCAGATGACAGGATTCCAAAACAGATTTTGACGTGGACATTACAAGGGAGAAGGAAAAGAGGAAGACCGAGAAGAAGCTGGAGAGAGGGAATTTAAAAAGAACTAGAGGAAAGAGAAATCCCTCCAGGCCTATGGTTGAATAGAGAAGAATAGCGGTTAGGAGTCGGAAGGCGTCGGAGAACGCTGTAAACCGATAGTGGTAGTAGTACCCAAATCGACAAACGGGTCAAAATCCGAAAGACAAATGATAAAAATCTACTAAAATTAAAACTAAACAAATCGATGCGTGAACCCTTAAGGGACGAAGAAAAATAAGATGGTCCAGAAGAGCTGAATAAAAGGATCTTAAATCGGTGATGCGAGAGATCAAGAGAGGGAGATTTCGGAAGACTCTGATACAATTGGCCAGTAATAAAATTTTTATGTTATTGTTTCGTTTATATCTGAATAATTAATACAAACGATACAATAAGCTATACAGTTTGAATACCGAGATCGTTTAAAACACTTTCCAATTATGACGTTCGAAACAAAATTCTTACCAGATATCTTACATGTGTACTTTTGACGGTGATCTAAATTGACTCACATTAGGGGCGGTCTTTACAAATGAGGAATTCATTCGTCAATTAAGAACCCTCGAAACCCATTAACCCATTTCGGAAATATAGGCCAGGAGGATTGATTTGCTTACGACTAGACGAATACGATTTTTGACGGGGAAATTGGTCGCATTTTCACGAGGGTTGGGGTTGGTCGCATGCGAGGGTAGGATTTGTTGAGTTTACAGGGTGGCTCCTACGTATCTTATAATGTATTGTAGGCAGTGATAAAGGCCGTATAACTGCAACATAATCAAGCATAAGCGGTTAACAAAAAAAAATTGAATGTAAAAATTAATGTTTAAGAAAAGAATAAATATAATATAAAGAAATTTAACCTTCAAAATGGTGAATGCTGAATAAAAATTCAC